CAGATCTGATGTTCGCAGGGTCACTCTAGGTCATCCTCAACGCCACACAGCAGCATATAAAGGGGAGGAAACTCTGGTGGCCCACTGTAAGCAGCTGTGCTGCCAACCCAGAGGCCCGTGTTTCTAATCCACCAACTGCGCTGCAGGAAAAAGACGGGTAATCTCCTCCCTCTGATTTACTGACTCTGAAAACCTGCTGCAGGGTCTGCTCTGAGTCAGTTCTGACACAGTAGCACAAAACAACATATCGTGAATAATCAATAGCCACAAAGAAGGAGGCAGCAGTTCTATATACATTGGTATGGCACTATCTGCAGCTCAGTTACTACTACTACTACTACTACTACTACTACTACTACTACTACTACTACGAAAAGAAGAAGGAGAAGGAGGGGAAGGGGGAGGGGAAGGGGAAGGAGTAGAAGGAGGAGAAAGAGGAGGAGGAGGAGGAGAAGAAGAAGCAGAAGAAGAAGAAGAAGAAGCAAGGTGCAAAGCAGTGTGTAGAGGACACGCACATGACGAGTAGGGGAGGTGGAGACACTTGGAGCTGACGGTGGTGATAGTCTCTAAAGAAGCAAACTCAGGGCCTTAAAGAATGCAGGAACAGGAGGAGATTTGCTTCCCATTCCACACTCTTCTTTGTTTTGAATTCTACAAATGCACATGTAGCATCTCCGCTGTTATGTTAGATGCCATCGAGTCAGCTCCGGCTCCTAGCGCCCCACCGTGCAATTTAATGAATCCCTACCCAACCGTCTGCATGGGAGGAGAATGCCCATCCTTCTTCTGGGGAGCAGCTGGTGGATTTGAACCTCATGCCTTTGGGACTGCCGTACAGTGCCCTTACCACTGTGTCACCAGTGCTTCCTAATTGCTTCACACGGGTGTGAAATCTGGACAACAAATAAAGAAGATCAAAGAGTCATCCATGCCTTTGAAATGCATTGGGGAAGAATATTGAATAGATGAAAATCGCCAAAAAGATGACCTACAAAACCAACAACAACATCAATAAAATCCTGTCTTATAAGACATGCAGCCAGGATGCTCTCAAAAGAGAGGATGATGAGGCTTCATCTCACACACTTTGAGAGTGTTTTCAGAAGGGACCTGTCCCTGGGAAAGGACAGCATGACGGAAAAAGACCAGGACTGACGCAGTAGCTGGAACACCGGCCTGGAGCACGGTGGGGGTTGTGGGATGTAAAGGACCCGGCAAGGCTTGTCTGTCATACATGGTGACTCGGAGTTATTGTGAAGCCAACCACCCCCACCAGACTGGAGCCCGACCTGCTGCGTGCTTGGCCCTGAGTGCACCGACCATGCCTGGCTTCCTTACACTCAGCTCTTTAATGGAGCCCTGCTGCTAACAGCTTAATAGGACACCACGGTATTCTTTGCCTCAGATTTTAAACTAAGGCTTAAGACCCCCCCCCTCAGGACTTGCACAGCATGCCAATTAACACTAATTGACACTGTACATGATTACCAAGTGAAAAATGGGATTTTCCTGAAAATAGTGCTTCCTTGCTGCTGCTTTTAAAAGTCTGTAAGTTCTAAGGCAACATTCTTGGTTGTGGTGCTGGAGAAGAGTGCTGAACGTCCTATGGACTGGCAAAAGAGTGAGCAGGTGTGTCCCGGAGAAGGTGCAGCCAGGGTGCTCCTTGGAGGCAAGGGTGGCTGAACTTGGTCTTCCACACGTTGGGCATGTTGCTAGGAGAAGCTAGTCCTAAGAGGGACATCATGCTTGGGAAGGTGGAAGGATGGTGAAAGAGAGGAAGACCCTTGACGATGTGGATGGACACAGAGACTACAGCAATGGGCTTGAGTGTATCAGAGTCTGTGAGGACAGCACAGGAGAGGACAGGGTGCAGGTATTTTGCTCATAGAGTCACTATGAGTCTTGATGGGATCTGACAACAATGAGGAGATTCTAGCGCGGTCCTTAGAAATATCATGGATTGTCAGTAAAACAAACAAATCTACCTTAGAATAGATATAGCTGTGCCCATCAACAAACGAATGGATAGAGAAGCTGTGGTATATTCATACAATGGAATACTATGCTGCATTGAAAAACAAGGAACTCATGCAATAT